ATTAACACTGTATTGCATATTTTAAAGTGGCCAAGAGAGTAGACTTTTTAAAATAAATAAATAGATAATAAGACCATACAAGAAAGACTATAACTTGATTTTCATTAGGGTTTAGTGATACTTTGCTTCTCAGGAGGGCTTATGTTCATCTATGTGTTTCTGGCAAATAAGATCATATGACTTTCTAACAACAATAACAACAAAATCCAAGGTTATTAAATACAGATAAATATTTGTGCATAGAAACATGCATTAAAATTATTGATAGGATAGAAATGAACTAAAATCAAATTGTCCAATAATAGATGAACAGTTGAGGATATAGTGATAGTCACATGTGCTGTGAAAATACGTAGTTACTAAGAAGAGATTTATAAGGCATAAATGATAGCAGGGGAGAATGCTAAGTGTTTTATATTTAGATACAAAATTTAAAAGATACAAAATTTAGATACAAAAAAATTATTTACAAAAATATTGTTTACAAATTATTTACAAATAATCAGATACAAAATTTAGATACAAAAAAGATATAAAATTTAAAAGATACAAAATTTTAAAAAATGAAATGTGACATTAAATTTAAAGAGATGCAAAGCTTTCTTGGGGCACCTGACTGGCTTACTCAGTTAAGTGTCAGACTCTTGGTCTCAGCCTGGCTCTTGGTGTCAGGGTTGTGAGTTCAAGTCCCACATTGGATTCCATGCTGGGTAAGAAGCGGCGTACTTAAAAAAAGAAAGTTTTCTTAATTTAGAAAACAATGAATCATGGACTGGGAGGTTGGTCATGATCATTGGGAACCTGGGTTTGCCTTTGATGAAGTATATATTTCTCTGAGCCAGCTTACTTCATTCATTTCCCAGAGCTTCAGTTTCCTCATAGGAAATGAAAACAACTATCTTGTTAGGTGGTTCTCATGACTAGGGGGAAAAAGTGACAATTAAATGGCACATAGTAGTTCATAAACAATGATAACTTTATTTATTATTGTGATATTCAACATCTCTGTTGAAAACTACAAGAAAAAAATGTCAGGATGTTTTTTTGCTCTGGGAGTTGGGAAAATGGATATACCTTTGAAAGTAGGTTTGATAGTCTAGTCACCTGACTACATCTGAATTCTGTTGAAAGATCAACCATATTGCTCCTCTTTAGAGCTGTGATTCACATTTTTATTGGCATTTTTCTTTTAAAAAATTGCTATGATATAGTAAAGTATAATGTTAACCCTAATATGAATAATTGAAATATGAGACAATATGTATTCAAAAAGGACCCCAAAAAAGTAATGAAATCTAAATTTCAACAAAAGGTTGAAGGAAAAAGGAAAATGGTATGATTTCAACAGCTATTACTATTTTTCTAAGATTTATTTATTTATGTATTTATTTGAGAGAGAGAGACAGACTCAGAGAATAGGGGAGGAACAGAGGAGGAAGGAGAAAGGAAATATCAGACTCCTTGCTAGCACAGAGCCCAGCCTGGGCTTTATCTTACAACCCCTATATCATGACCTGAGCTGAAATCAAGAGTCAGACACTTAACTGACTGAACCACCAGGAACCCCAAGAAGTATAACTCTTTAAAATTTGATTTACTTGAACATGTAAATACATAGCACTGATTATATGTGAGACACTTCCAAGAACTTTTCATGTATTTACACATGTTTAAAATATTTGTATTAAATGACTGTTAAACTCTTTTACTAGATCCTTTGATATAGACCCTATAATTTTCTCTAGTTTTCAGATGGTTAAACCAAACCCTAAGGAAGTTAAGTAACTTGCCCCAAGTTATACAACTAGTAAATCATAGGGGTTTGAACCCAAGTGGTTGAGCTCCCAAGACCATGCCATTAACTCTAAGCTCAGCTCCCTCATACCCTGAAAAAAAAAATAGATTTAAAATATTCACAACTGCTCCTTTATATTGCATATTCTAAGCTTTGATTTGTTTCTTGTTAATCCCATGTAACAACAACATGAGGAACCAAAAGATCTAAAATACATTTTCTTTTTTTAAAAGTTTTGCGTAACTGTTCAAAAATCAACCTGGAAATTTATGCACAAGGTGAATGTATGATAACTGCTGTTAAAGCATTCATTAATTTCCTACTTGGAGGATTAGATAATTTCAAGGAATTATTTCTAACCTTTATTTATTTATTTTTAAATACATATTTTAATTTTACAGCACTGAATGACATGTATTTTTAAAATTATTTCTTCATGAACTTTGCATTATTATTCACCAGAACACAGGGGGGGCTATGATTATTTTACTTGTGTTAACGCTGAACCTTTGTCAACATTTTTACTACAATTCACCTTGGTAATAAAATAGTCAATATATTCCTGCATCTTTTTAGACATTTTTTCTCCCTGGCAGTGGAAGTGTTACTTCACTGAAGCAGATAAACAGGATGGATAATGATTGTTATATGCTCAGTGATCCTTATAATGGGGGGAAAGTAGTTGAATGTTCTCCGATCATTCTCAAAATCGGAAACTGACTGAATTTCATTTAGGAAATAGCAAGGTCTCACCACAGGTAACATTCTCTAAAGGTATATAAAGACTAGAATATCTGCCCTGAATCCTCTATGTTAAATCAGATCCATACAGTAAAAACCTCCCTAGTTTATGCAGATGGTAGGCTCATATAAATCATCTTTCAAGTTCAGTAAAGATGTCCAGAAAATCTCCCCACTAAAAAATGAATTACAGGAATCTCCCATGATTTGGGGAGGAGATATCTGAAGTAGATGCCTAGAACCAGGGATATTACCGAACTCTATATATATCATCTGTTTTCCTATGCACACATATCTATGATACATGTCTATGATAAAGTCAAATTTATCAGTTAGGCACAGTAATAGTTTAACAACAATAATTAATAACAAAAAAGAGCAACTGCAATACTATAATATTTATAACATTTATGTAAATGTAGTATCTCTTTGTCTCAAAATATCTTATCATATTACTCTCACCCTGGCACTTGTGATGATGTGAGATGATAAAATGTCTATGTGATGAGATGAAGTGAGGTGAATGACATCGGCATTGTAACATAGTGTTAGGCTACTATTGACCTTCTAATGGTAGTTCAGAAGAAGGATCTTCTGCTTCTGGACCATGGTTGACCATAGAGAGTGAAAGCATGGAGGAGGGGTCTACTGTATATTGACTGTCTTACTTCCTTTCTATATATGTGAAAATGTGAGAAGAACTTGAAAGTATCATTTTCATTTCTATTCTGTCACTTTGCTAGGGTTCATGTCCATGTGGACAAATCAGACAGTTAGGAAACAAAAATATATTGATCTTATTTTGAGGAGGCGAATGTTGTAATACATAAACCCAGGCCATATTTCATGGCCCAATTCATTTAAATTACTCTAAATATAAAAATTACATAAAAAGTACCAGCATAGGCACAAAAATATATAAGTACATATTTTTGCATTTATAAAAATTAAAACCAATCCTATGTTTGTCATCAACACACAGTGTTTATGACTAGATACTCCCTCATGCTGAAAAAAAGTTTTAGAAAAGAGCATCTTTTTCTTACTGTGCTGGTGGCCTATTGCTGGTCAGAATCATGATTTCCTGAATTATTTCAATTTAGTTAAATCCAATATATTTACTGAATGCCTATTAAGCATGAAAGTGACTAAGCTATATTTTCTCCCCTTAATGTCTTCATGTTGGACAGATTTGTAAGATGAAAAGAACAAACAAATTATAGGTGACAGAAAAGGATTAACATGATTGCTCACATAGTACATGGTGTATAGAAACTCCCACATGACAAAGAAGGATCTCTTATGTAAGAAAATTTAAACAGAAATTGAAAGTATCTAGGAAGGAAACTAGATTCAATCAGACTCTGTCAAAGAGAAGGCACAGAAAATTTTACAGATGAGGAAATTTTGGTAGAAGTAATAGTATCAATAGAGAATGAAGGTCAAATATTGAAGAAAGAAAAAGGATAAAAGTGGAATTTATAGACCACAGAGGTGAGCATTTTTAGTCACGTCTAGGTGTAAAGAATATAACACAAATTTAAAATAAGGCTTGAAGTGTGGTCCATAAGACCAGTGCATTTCTGGGAGTGGAAGGTCTGTCTACTCCACACTGAAAGAGAGAGAAAAGGAGAAAATATAACCTCTGGGGAATAGTTGTCATCTGAGCATCAGATGTCTCAAGTAAAAACATGCTAATAATAAGGAAGCATTATTTACATTGGAATGAGAATCTCATAGGTTATGGTACACATTGTAAAGGGGAAGTTTCCACCAAGAGGTATAAAAGGATGAGCTGATGTTACACCAAATAGCCATACTATCCAGGAAAAAATAAAAACAAGAAGGAAAAAGAAATATAAGAATAAAAAAGGAAAAGAAGTGTAAGAATGTCAGGCAAGGATTGATAGAAGAAATGAAATCATAAAGCCAGGATGGATATTACTATTGAAACAAAATGTTGAATACATAGAGAGAGGTGGCACACAGGCTCATGTGATCTCAATTCTCTTAAAATAGAAAAGCTCAAGGAGATGCTCCATTTTTTTTTTTTTAATACACCATTCTTTCTCCTCCTAAAATAGCTCACAGGGATCATTTAGGGGAAATATCAATGTGTTCTTGGTGTTCTCATCTAATCTTCTGATCATAATCAGATGATAGATTCTAAAACTGAAGACCTTCTACAACTTCCCACAGTATCCTTTATTGATACAAGCAGTGACTTAAAATGTGGGACTTTGTATAAAACCCTTAATTTCTAAGATTTCCTTATTGCTATGTGAAAGAAATGAAAAGGAAAGAAAAAAATTGTATTAATTAAAATAAAGGCTGGAACCTCTTCTACAACATGATATACATAAAATATTAATAACTTAATGCATAAAAGATATTTTACAGTTCAAATATTATATGATTAAAGTGAAAATACTAGCTGGGTGGTTAATTCACTACCAGCACTTACCCTGGGGCTGACGGCTGGGGTGGTATATCTGAAGGTCAAATGGCTGTGCACTTGTCTTCTGAATCACGCTGACGTTCTGCCCTGTCCACTTATTGGCTTTTGACAGTGTGTTGGTCCTCCAGTCCGTCCAGTAGACCTCACTCCCATATAAAGACACAGCAAAGGGATGGGAAAGATATTCATGACCTCGAATGATTTCTATCATGGCTGTCCCATCATAGAGGGCTGAATAAATAGCATCTGACCTACAGAAATGTAAATACATTAATTTTATCAGAACTTATTCAAATAGTCCAGTGGTGTTATCATACTACCTAGATAAATGCCAGAGAGAATATTTTATTAAAAATACTTCATAGGTCTGTATCTGATTTGTAGAAAGAAGAAAAAAGCCTATCATAACAAAAACAAACAAAAATCACCACCATCATAATGAAAACAAAACAAAAAGATCATCACCAATTTCGAAGTGTGCATACACGATACTTGCACGTTAGGGTATCTTTTGAGTTTACAAATACTATCTGAGAAAGGTAACAGAAAATACAGAAGAAAAAGATCACCTGGCATCTGTCCAAACTATCCTTTTTTCAAAGTGGTCCACAGTTAGTCCATTAGGCCAAGCTCCAGTTTTCATGTCTTTGTAGATGGTTTTTCTTCCAGCTCCACTCATGGAGGCAGATTCAATGCGAGGAAAATTGGCATCCCAATCTGTCCAGAAAAGAATTCTGAAGAAAAATAAATAATGCTATTGCTTCAGCCATTGAGTTCACAAAGGCTTACTGAGTGCCAACTATATGCTAGACACTGGCAGGTAAACAGTCTCAAAAGAAACAGATGTATTATCTACCCACTTGGTGCTTAGAATCCAGTGGAGAAGACAGACTAAATAAACACAGGAATATATGATTCCAGCTTCTAAAATATGCTAAGGGAAATTTTCATTATGGGAGAGAATAGTAGGTAAGTGATCCACTTAGAGAAGGTGATCAGGGAAAAAAAGGACTTTGAGGAGACTGTATTTACATTGAATCTAAAGTTTAAGTAGAATAGTATAAAGAGCATGATGAGCCAAATAAATAGCAGATATGAAAGCCTTAATAGGGGGAAAAAAGTGAATGTTTTGAGGAATAGAATTAAGACCAATGTAGTGAGTAAGGAGGTAAAAGGAAGAGGATGGATTTGAAGAGTGCTACCTAATGGGCTTTGTAGTCTAAGGCAATTATTTGGGATTTTATTCCAAGAGAATAGGAAGCATATTTAAGCAGGGGTGAAACATGGTATCATACATAAGTAGATGATAGTGAGGCAAGAGTATACCAGGTGGTCATTTTAAAGGAACAGCCAAGGATGACAGTGGTTTGGAGTATGGTAGGGGAAGGGAAGAATGGTGAATGGATTCAAGGTATATTTGGAGGTGGAATTGCCAGGACTATCTGATGACTGACTATAGGGAAATGAAGTGGAGAATAAATCATAGGTGACTGTGTTTCTTGTTTCAGTAAAGTCAGAATAAACACAAGGAAGAGGGTTTGCAGGGAATCCATAAGTAAAATGGAGAAAATGAAAGAGGAACAGATTCTAAGACCTGAGAATTAACTGTGGTTGAGTGTGAAGAGCAATCAAAAGTTTGCTTTGAATTTTTTTTTTTAATCTTAAGATTTCAAGATATCCAAAAGGAAGTGTTCAGGAAGCTGTGTGGTATGCCAGGGTGAAGTTCAGAGAAGAAGGCAGGGCTGGACACATGAATTTGGAAATCATCAGTACAGAGATGATATTTAGATTCATAGCAATGAAATAGATCATATGACAAAAGATATAGAGGGAAAGCAGAGGAAATCATTATACTTTCATATATAAAAACATGAGATTGTTAAAACACCATTTTCATATGTTAAAGATCATCTTTTTTAAACCAAATACTATTTGAGACTCTACAAATTCGTGGTGTACAAATAGTTAGACACAATGGGCATTAAGTGCCTCATGTCCTGCAATTGATTTTTAAGCCTATTAGGCAATGGATGTTTTATGTTCAATTGACAGTGGTTTAAACTGCTGATGCATGTTTCTATGGCATATTTAATACAGTTACACAATAACTCCACAATCATAATTACTCTCCATATTTTTAAGTGCTTACTGTATGTTAAATACTATTTTTAGCCAAAATACTATTTTCAGCTTTATAGATTATCTCATTTAATCAATCATGAGGCTATGGCTAATGTTATCTATGTTTTAGAGAGGGAGAACAAAGTTAAGAGAAGTTAAATTACTTTGGCTACACAGCTAGCAATTGGCAGAGGGAGATGGAAAATTGGGCAGCCTAACTTCTGCTCTGATGCTTTTAACATCAAATTCTTTAATGTCATGTCACTAAATAAAATAGGAAAGGGAAAACATCTGGCAGATGATAAGGCCATGTTTGCTAATCAATAAATTGTAGTTGCCTTTTCTATTTTCATAGAAGAACCCAATGAGTAGCATGGTGATTTGGGAAGGGAGAACTCACAGGATTGGAGAGATAGTGACAGTCCAGTAAATTTTCCCATTATCAGCTCTGACAACATTTTGGTGAGAAATGGTAAAGTTACTGGTGAAAATACCTTTGTTTTTCACTATAATTATATATCATTTTGCTATTTTTCATTCTTCTGTATTTTGAATGATCCTTAAGTATATGAATGTGGTAGACTACCTTGGAAAATAAAATAATCCTCTGGTACAAAATTCAAAATACAATTCAAGCTATCTTCTTCTTTTTTAAAATATTATCTATATTATGTTTATGTAAGGAGATATGGAGCGATGTAAACTAAGTATTTACCATGACTTGAATTTTTGAGAAGTATATAGTCTTTAGGACAGAGGAATTTGAAATACGAAATGAATAAAACACAATTCAATAGATTATGTAATAAATTTAGTAAGTATGTGCGTTAAAAGACTATGGCGAGGGGCGCCTGGATGGCTCAGTGGGTTAAAGCCTCTGCCTTCTGCTCAGGTCACGATCCTAGGGTCCTGGGATGGAACCCTGCATTGGACTCTCTGCTCAGCAGGGAGCCTGCTACCCTTCCTCTCTCTCTGCCTGCCTCTGTGCCTACTGGTAATCTTTGTCCGTCAAATAAATAAATAAAATCTTAAAAAAAAAAAAAAGACTATGGTGAAGAGAGAAGGAAGATGTAGATGTCCTGGATAAGAGTGGCAGCTCATAGAAAGCTCTGAAGCACTGGGCAGCCTCAAAATATTACTAAATAATTATGCCAGTATGTTTCTATGTCAGACTAACTTGGGATAAAGACTGGTATCTGTCACTTTCTCCAGAATATTTAATCTCAGCCTCCATTTTCTCATCTGTAAGTAAAATCTCTAACTGTACACACTTATCAGGAGCATTTGGTGAGGTCCTGGATGTAAACAATCTAGCACAAAGGATGACTAGGTCACAGAAAAGACTTGTGCTTCCACGAGCATGCCACCCACACATAGTCATAGAACTGATTTTTTAAAAGCAAAATTTCTAAGTATTTCCAAATTTTTAAAGAAATGGAGAGAGAGACAGAAAGAGAATTAATACTATTGTCAATGTTTAAATGCCACAGCAGCATGTATGTGAAAGTAGAATGTTTTATAAGTCAAAGTCACAAGAAAAGGAATTCAGAGGAGGAAGTTGTAAGATTGGGTTTATCTCAAAGAATGTCTCTTAAAATCTGAGTTTATGTTAAAAAAAAAAAGGAAGTTTTAGTTTCATGGGCAACAATAGAGGAGTTTCCTGGTCCTGCTATGGGATCATATCTACAAAAATAATATCCAAATTATTCATTCTTTAATCACCAATATTTGAATAAATTAAGTAAACTTCTGAGAAAGGATAAAACAAAGTAATGTATCCGGGATAACGTATTGATAACTGTTGAAGCTTGGTAATGAATATGAAGAAGTTTGTTATGTAACTCATTCTATTCTGTGTATTTAAAAATTTCTATAATAAAAGTTTAAAACTGCAAATAACTCAAAATTAATAAAATAGATAATTTTTAAGAATAGTAAAAATACCAGAGGATATTTATAAAATTTTATAGCTAGAAATCATTTTTCTAAAAAGACTAATTTTTAAAGATTAATATGAGAAAAAAAACAATCATGTATATACAATACACATATTACTTATAAATTACCTAATATACAATATGTTGCCATAAAGGGAAAACAGAACAAAGATTTAATATAAAGGTAGTAGGCTATTCAGTTAAGTAGTTGAATGTCTTTAAAACAATTAATGAGATGTATTATGTGTCTCACTTCAAGTTTAATTTTGGATGCATGCATCTTTTCCTGGACAGCAGATTGTGGTCAGTTCCCCTTAACACTTAGGATTTTAAAACTAAGATTTAAAATGAGAAACAAGACCAATACAGCATCAATCAAATTGATGTGGTATCTTGACAGACAAGGTAGAGTAGAGATATTTGCAAGCTTAAAAATGATTAGGAAAAATAATCACTGAAAACAAACAATGAATTTGAGAATGATAGCTAGTCTGAATATCTATGGATAAGCCACCATGAGATCTAGGCAAGGCTGTAATTCACACTCTGGATTGATGACCCAAAGACTTCTGAGTATTGTCTTTTGCCTGAATAACAAGTGGAAAACTGGTGTCTCTCTTCTAACTTTCTACCTAGTTCTGCCTTATGTGGTTGTGGAAATTCCAACACACACACCAGTAACTCTACAATTCTGCACTCTATATTATAAGTTTACCAGAGTAGGCACTGTAAACTCTCAAGTATGTGTTTCCGCTGGACCATAAAAGCATAGCTTGGGATAATTTGAGACATTCTAAAGTGATTCCTTCGTTTCTTCACTAAACATAGCAGCATTAAGCTCTTTCTTCTGTAATGCTCACAATGGTCTTAATCTTTCATCAATTCAAGTGGGGAAGTTTCCAATACTTTTTATAAAAGAACATGTTCTAGAATTAGTTCTCCTAAAAACGTTCTTAACTTCACCATAAGTCAATCTACAATCAATTTAAAAAGTTGATTTCAAGGATCATTGTTTCATAAAATTCTAGGCACTCTTTTGTATACTTTATAGTGTGGTATTTTAAAGGAATCACTTTCCCCTTATTACTTTCTTTTTATGGTTAAAATGTATTAGCATTTCAATGATTGAATTATTTCTTGAAATACACAAAGACTGAATATCTCTTCTTATAGGACGTATGGAAATATTCAGCCACAATTGCTTTTAAAAAAGAGACTACAGTCTAGTGATTCTACAGTTCCTGCATTCATGAGTTAGTGTGTATCAGGATTAAATTGGGTCAATGGACCATGAACAACTTGTATCATTACAGGCATGGAAGGGCCATTATCATCTATCAGGTCAAGCTGCGAAAGGTGAAAATAAATGATCTTGGCAAAAAACAAGGATACTTATCTACAATCTTTAGGTCTTCTAAAAGCAACAACATCTTTATTAGTTTCATTTAGGAACATTCCCAGATACAATTAAAATTTTATTTTGATGTTTCACTAATCTTCACAACTACTGTATCTGCTTTTACAAATTGCAATTGCTATAGCAGAGCCCAGTTATTCTGTCAGATAAAATCTAAACACATAGTGGAGCACGAGGACACCAAGCAGCTGCACAAGTACAAAGGCAAAGACATTTCAAGACCCGAAGCAAATGCCCTGTAAATTCGGAACTCCCTGGTACTTCTTACTCCCTAATACTAAGCTTGAGGTTCAGGGGAGATTCATGGACTCATTCAAGTCACCTTAGTAATAACTATATTCCCTTAAAAAGGAATGAGAGAAAAATGGCTCCTCCACAAGACTTCCATTTACCATCTTGGAATAACTTGTCACTTTGGATATTGGGTCAAAACCCAGAATACTAAAGGGATGTGGCATGATGGCAAGTATGTTTTATAATGTAAAATGAAGACCTGTGGATTTTATGCCTGGGAAGCAAAGCAGTTGATTAAAAATATCTTGTTTCTTGGCATCTGTAAAAAAAGGTCACAAAGGAACTTCAGAGCTGAAGGAAACTCACATGATGTAAGCCTGTCTTCTTGTTCTAATGTTATTGCTTTTTTTTTTTTTTTTGTTATTGTTCTTTTTGTTTTTCCTCAGCTATGCTGAGGGAGGGAAGTCGCTGTTTGCAAACTTAAACAAGTTCACTTGTTATTGGAAACAAAGTTTATAGTATTTACCCATTAGCTGTCTTTTACTCTATGCTTCTCCCTTTCAGGTTTATCCTTGAGTTTTGTAAGTTACATGTTAACAAAAAGTCTATGAATATGCTTGTATTAATTTATTTAACAAACATATTCAGCACAATTTTATATACTAGGAGTGGGGGAGGATTTCACAGACATGGGACCATGTCTTGCCATTAGACTTTGTTTACCATTAGAGAGCTTATGATGTGGTAGGAAAGTAATAGTATTTACAGAAACCATAATTCTAAAAAAAATTATTCAGTAGACTTACCCCAAAATACCTATTTTTTAAAAGAAGTTTAAGTTTCTTTGGAACTCCTTTCAATTTTGATTCACACCTTTTTTTATTATTTCTTGAATTTTTTAAGAAATAGGGAGAAATTTTATGTTTCTATTTGAATAGATAACACAAAGGCAGTAAGTGGAGTTTTTTAGTTTGTTCTTAAGTATTTATTTATTTGAGAGAGAGAATGAGAAAGAGCACGAGAAGGGGGAGAGTAAGAGGGAGAAGCAGACTGAGCAGGGAGCCCGACACAGAACTCGATCAAGAGGACTCCAGGATCATGACCTGAGCCAAAGGCAGTCACTCAACCAAGAACCCCTAAGTGGAGTTTAAATCAAATTAAATTATTTTTCAGTGTTTCTTTCCTTGTGCTTTGCTTTGCAGTTCACTCTATGTGTGTGTGTTTACATGCTTATATGTATTTTTACTATGTTCTCAGTCTACCTTATGTAAGGTCCAATGTTTAAAAATAATTATGGACTTTTTACTAAAATATCCCAAACCTGAAAGCATTTTCATATTTGCATTGCATTTTTAAATTTAATTGCTACAGCTGGGCTTTAGAGGTGTTTATGTGAACTTCATATCTTAATTGTATCAATCCACTGTAGAATAATTTTTAGCAATAAAAATCCTATTATTATCATGACACCCAAACTTATCAACCTTTCAATTTCTTCCTAGAGTTGTATGAATTAATACTACCTTCTGAGCTTTGATTACTTATACCAAAAAGGATTTTTGTGTATATTTTTTCACTCATTTTATTAAGAAAAAAATTACTACCATTGTAATTATTTTAATCAGCTGTACAATTTCATAGTAGCAATTAGTAATAGAAGGCATCAACTTTCTCAGAAGCATTGTCATGTTTTCCTACTCAGAGGCTGGCATTCTACACTAACTTTCAACTCTTAGAGGGTATATTACTTCTGAAGATCTTATGTCACTGGAATACTATCTGATATTTTCACTTAAATAGTATTTGTCGGTGATGTGTTGTGTCTCTATTTTTTTTTTTTTTTCTCCTCTCAGGTAGGATCCTCTACAAACTAAGTGAGATAAATAATTTTATCCTAAGCATTGTCAGTTCAAAGCTGTAGAAAATAAAGTTTCAACTCCCAGACCTAATGCTTTGTTTGGTCAGACATTTTCAGAGCTTTCCATTTGCCAATTTTGTCCTTTTTGTTGTATCTTGTTTTTCTCTCTGTGTGCCATCTGTAATTTGAGAGCACTCACAGCTTTTCTACCATATTGGTGTATAAGATAAAACCACAACTTTCTCCAAAATATCACTTTCCCTTCTACAGAAAGTTTCCCCTGTGTATAAGGTACTGGTACCACTTAGGTCTATTAGGTGAAAATTCCACAGCAGTAGTTGTTACATTGAGGGTAAAACCCCTGTTGGTAATGAAATTTTATGGGAAGTAAAGGGTCAGAATCAGGAAGTTAGCTGTAATCTCAGGAATAGTCTGTTTCAAAAAATGAATTTTTCACTAAACATAATATATATCTTCCCAGTGAACTGTTATTATAGTAATTAATGAATAAAATGGGCAAAATGTAGACTGTATAAATAAGAGAACCCCTCTCTAAGGTAAAAGATACAGCTACTGCTTTGCTCCTTGCTGCCAGATCTCTTGTTTTTTTTCAAAAGTAGCCAGAAGTCCAGGACTGTATATAAAATGCCTTAATATTTTAAGTTTGGACAAGTAATAAATAAATTCAAAACACTGTAGAGGTAAAGCAAACATAAGAGTTGCCTATTTGGAGCCCTGTTCTAGGCAAGCTGCTTTGGTCCTTTAATTTCTGTGTATGAATTGAAGAAAAGAACAGACTTCCTAAACCATTGATTTCTATACTTCGGCATAAACTAGAGCACCAGACAGAAATTGTGGTCAGGAAGGTGACTTAAACACAGGCTCCCTTTTCTCTCTTCTGCATTTCATTAAACTTCTCCTGGCTGATTCTCCTTCCTCATTGGTGTTCCCTGGACTTTGTATTACTTGAAGGTACAGAGACCAAAAAATAAATTAATTGAAATAAAAATGAATTTAAAAAAATTTCTGATCTGCTAACCTTTAGCCTTGACAATGGTTTTGGATTTGTAAAATAATTACCAAGGAAATAAATAATTAACAGTAATAACAGTATTTTCATCTATATCACTTAAATCTTGTCTTCCACATATTTACCATCTCCTCAAAAACAACCAAATGATAAAGGTATCATCCCTGATTTACGAAAGAAAAAACTGAAATTTAAAGGAAGATAACAGAGTTAAGTGGATTCCCCAGAGAATAACTGAGTGAATAGAAATTGGAACCCTTGTTTTCCAAGATTTTCTTGTCTCTCTTCTGCTCTTTCACAGAGGAACACACAAGGGAACACCAGTGCCAATTAGCTGAGTTACTCAACATTTGACCTTGTTTTCAAGAATCATGTGCCTTGTCTTTCCAACACCCCAATAGTCAGTGTCTCATCACTGGATTCCTTCAACCTTATACTAATTTTCTTTTAAACTGACTCCAAGTACTTATAAAATACATAAGAGGTGGTGCAATTAACATCTATGACTATTTGTACCAGAGACTTGTCCTGTGGTTTGGAACCATTAGAAACAACTATAGCATCTCTTTGACACATCACAGAGAAATTCATTAAATTACTGCTTCAAAATTGAGTTGCAATAGCTTTCAATAGGGCTTAATGCCCATATTTAGAAAAAAGATATTTCTATCCTCTAAAGATACCTATGTAAGCAATCTTATAACCAAATTTATGCTAATAAACTTAAACTGATTTTATATATATATGTTATATATATAATATATAGATGTAGACATACATTAGACATAAATATACGTAATTATACATATATAAACATATACGTACATGCACAAAATAAGCAATCTGACTCATAATTTATGAGATAATTGAATTCAGTATTCATTTAAAAGATTATTTTTTATGCCAAAGTGAATCTGTAAAAGGCAAACTTCTTTACCCATATCTTGGGTCCAAAGCAATGGCCCTGGGGTGTTCCATGGCTCCAGCAATTAGTGTAGTTCTTAAGGAGCCATCAAGTTTGGCGACTTCAATTTGGTCCAGATTGCTGTCTATCCAGTATATATTGCCTGCTATCCAGTCGACGGTCAGTCCTTCTGGGGTAGCCAAGCCATGCTCCACAACCACTTCTATTGCACTGACCCCTACAAAAAAAAAAAAAAAAAAAAAAGGAAACCAATACTTGTACCCATTCAATGAATGTGTTACGTGTGCACACACACACAAGGCCTACTTAACAGTAGCACAGAGTTTTGAAGTATTATATTGAGTTTCAAAGATAGAGTGCAAACGTGTTACCTGGCATGATGGAAACTAAGACTCCGAATTTAGAATTACTGGTCTTTCCTACCAGAAATCTTTAATTTCTTAAGCCCTTTCAGTGACAGTGCAATAGAATTTTTGAATAACTTTAAGGCTAAACAATAGTGTTTAGATTTCAAAAAATTATATTTCTTGTTTCTGACTTTTGAAATCGAACACAGGATTTGGGGAATAAGAATGATGTGTTAGTTAAAATTAGTGCAATTTAGTATCAACATTGATCTTCAGGGGTAGAATAAAGAGAAAATGCCCCTCTGGGGCAACATGCAGTATAGCTAGTCAGTAGCCACCCTTTTCTGAAGCATGATAAATAAGATGACTTTACTGCACTTACCCTTAATAAAGATAAGCCCCAAATCACACTCCCTGCCCCTTCCTGGGCCATAAGACTTACACTATATAACATGATTACAAATAAGAGAGGAAGGCATTAGTTTGGTCTAAATTAAAATAAACAATTTGGTAATGTCCACTAATGATCTATTTATCCACTTTTTAATTTCTTTTGTAATTAAAATATTTTTTCTAATAGGATAACTCTTAATAGTTTACAACATTGTCAGTGTTTTTGTTAGACATTTTAACAGACTTTTTTTTTAGCCCTTAATCATCTAAGCCCAAGGATCTAAATCCATCACTTGAAATCAGTCTCTTGCAATACGCCACAGACACAAATTCACAGGTGAATCACATATTTATTATCATTTTTCCAAACTTGCACATGTGACTTAAGGAGAAATTCAGATTTTTATAGAAACACATGGACTTTGGAATGCTACACAGAGCCAATGTTTCCAAAATGATTATTACATATATTTATCTCAGAGCCTTGCTACTTAAGAAGTGTACATTAGACAAAAGAGTTAAGTCAAACTATGATAAAAACATTTAGTTCATATTAGTGGTCTTTGGGACAATTCATTATATGTTGAAATTTTGCTGACAAAATAAAACATTTTAACTCACAAACATTATGTCCACTAGTATGTGGAAGGCAGTAGTTATTTCTTATAAGTATTTTTCTTTACCAAATGTCCACGGAAAAGCTCACAATTTGAAAATTGTATGCCTAGCACAGGCTCCCATCATTCATTCCCCGCCCTCAATATATTTTCACACATAAACTTGACATCCCTGGTTTTACATATATGAGGGAGAAGGCAAAGAATGAAAGTGCAAAGATTGATCTAAATCCCATCTCATTACAGCATATTTTTCTAGAATTTTCAGTTAAAAATTACCTCCACTTTCAGAAAGCTTGCCCCGGTATATCCTGTCTTCTACAACATCCGTCCAATAAAGTAAACTTTGATTGAAGTGAAAATCAAGTGCTATTGTGTTTCTCAACCCAGGAACAAGTAGACTATAGTCTCTTTTATGAAGATCGATCTTTCTGATCTCATGACGAATAGAAAAGATGATAAATGCTTCAAAGGGATCTGAAAATAAATTTATTTTTAATAGGCTTATAAAAATATTTATATGCTTTCATAAGTAGGATAAAACACTTTGAGGTCAAGTCCAATTATTTACAAGCATAATTTATTATATAATTCTCTGTTATTCCAGGAGCAATTTCTTTTTATCCAACATTTATAAGAAACTTGAAAATTTTAGGCTTATATATATTCATTAAAATAAGGTATAAATATGTTTTTATTCCTTGGATCTTTCTACATTTGATTCTGATTAAAGAACTCAAGAATTATTGGAATTCCAGGACAAAATGGGGGTTTTCTATCTTTATGGAGCTTCAGCTGACAATCTAAACCATGGAAACATCAACATAGGAATAGCTAAGAGTTGACTAAAATGAGTTCTGCTACTCTTAACCCATCACACGCCTATAGCTCCATAAAGGAAAGAGATCCAATAAAAGAGGATTTCTTTGAAGAGAGTTATGGTCTTAGAGTTAGAGTGCACTCCCCATAAGAGGGTAGATGATGACTTTCTCCACAGTCTGACATTTACTAAAATTACATTATCAGTTTGGAGATGTGCTAATTACTATTGGACATACTAAGATGAGTTAGACATGAATTTTGCCTGATGAATATACATTTTGTGGGAGGTGACCCAGGTTTACAATTTCCCCCCATTTCCATGTTAGTACCATTCCTTTGGGCTTTCTTTTAGGAAAATTTGTTTTTCTATTTTAAGTCTAGGTACCATCATCTCTTTCCATGGTGATTGGCTCAAAAGGTTGATGTGAGATCTAAATCAGGCTAATGGGTCTCTAAACTTCTAGAGAATATTTCAAGCTGAGGATAAAGAGTGTCTTTCCTTCTAAGGTCACAGATGTCTAAGCCTAGTAATGCTAGTGTCCATGCCCTTACAGTTTGTATAAGTCTACTTGTGATATTGTAGTAGAAGAGAAAAAAGACACAGAGAAGGAAGCAGCAATGACCTGGTGAGGTTCAAGTCCCCAGGCTAAGGATGTTCAAATCCGTAGTTGTAATTATCCCTTAGTTCCTTCATATTCTCTATACATTTCACACACTTCAGATATGTAAGTCAATGCACTTAAATCCAACTCAGTTTGAACTTGCTTTTTGTCAACTGCAATCAGTTTTACTCTTTTTCCTAATCTATATCCCTCAAAGAGGTCTTTCCTGGTCAGTTTCCCAATAAAGACCATTTTTTAAAATTATTTTATATCTCCAAAACCTATTTATTCTCTTTGAAGTATATATATATATGTGTGTGTGTGTGTGTATGTGTGTGTATATATATATATATATATATTTATTTATTTATTTTAAATATATATATATTTATTTATTTGACAGATAGATATCACAAGTAGGTAGAGAGAGGGGAGGAAGCAGGCTCCATGCTGAGCAGAGAGACCGATGTGGGGCTCGATCCCAGGACCCTGGGATCATGACCTGAACCAAAGGCAGAGGCTTTAACCCACTGAGCCACCCAGGAGCCCCTGAACTATATTTTAAAATCACTATTTATTTGTTTGACATCTACCTTTCTCATTGGTTTATATGCTTTATTAAAACAGGGATCTTGGGGCACCTGGGTGGCTCAGTGGGTTAAGCCTCTGCCTTCGGCTCAGGTCATGGTCTCAGGGTCTTGGGATAGAGCCCCGCATCAGGTTCTCTGCTCAGCAGAGAGCCTGCTTCTCTCTCTCTCTCTCTGCCTGCCTCTCTGCCTACTTGTGATCTCTCTGTCAAATAAATAAATAAAATCTTAAAACAAAAACAAAAACAAAAACAAACAAAAACAGGGATCTTGTTTGCTTAGTCCATTATGATGGGTCTAATATCAAGCACCAAGAAGGACACAATTCATACCAGGTCTTAGATTTAGAACAGCGCTAACCTAGGCTGCCTGCTATTGGTGTAGGGAAATTACTGGTCTGCCCCAACCTCCACCAACTGAGCATGAATCTACTTCAGTGAGTTCTGCCTAAAACATTAAGTAAATGTGTTTTGAATGAACAGATGTGAAACTGATTCCATCTTAAGCAACCAGCTTATAGCTACGATGGGACAGAGCCTGGCAATGATCAGTAGAGCCACCTAATTTACCCGAAGCTGAAAGCATAGTATAAGTAAGTCCAACCAAGGCCACAAGAACTAATCTGAAGGCCTGAGATCTTGTGAACAATAATTATGTATATTATTGTGATATTATAGGTCTTGTGGTAATTTATTGCACAGTATTATGGTTTTTACTGCACAACATTACTGTGACAGTAGCTAACTGATATAAAATACCAAACATGTATTAAACAACTAGTGCCAAACAGCTCCCAATAGAACAAATACTCATAAAATTTTAAACCCAGAATTTAGTGTTTTTGAAATATATATATATATATATATATATATATATATATAATATATATATATATATAATGGTTCTATTGGATGTACAGTTATTTAAAAGGGAGAATACCTAATTATTAGGTATTAAGATTAGGATGCCTTGTGCAAATCAGCTCTATGAAACAACTGCTTGCCTTTGAAAATTTCTTTATCTTTTTTCAGAAAAGGTCTTCATGTGTAAAATGGAGTTAATGATAACCTCCTTTAAATTTAACTTAAATTGTTGTTACCAGAATCCAATTAAATAATGCAGATACATTTGTTTAATAATCTCAAAATCATCACAGCAAATATAAATATGGAGGTAACTGTGAGGTAGTCAAAAGTAATAGATTTGAAGTCACAAAATGAGGATTTAAAACAGAACCCTTCTTCTAATTGGCTGTGTACATTTGAGACTTTCTGATCCTCAATACTTTTTTTTATTTATAAAATATGTAACATACTGAGTTATCAGGATAATTGATAATTAAAAGTGTGGATTCTCAATATCTCAATAAATATTTAATTATTATTATAAGTCTTAAATTTCAAAGATTTCCCAAAGGAATAAGCAAAAGAGATACTGCATAAGAGAAAAGGCTGGAATGATAGTATACCAAAAGGGAGTTGAATATTTCTTAGCATGTGCCAAAGCTGGTGACATTTCAGTTCTGAAGAGCTTCCCCATCCTTTGGCTTATAGTTTGCCCTTAGTTAAGCAGTAAATTAAAACTGCAGCAGCTACTTGCTAAAGAAATTTAGATTTAATAGCTACTAAGGGACATAGAGTTTCAAAATTGCAAAGCAATAATGTGCTGCCTTTCCTTAGAAAATCACACCAGAAAAAGGAAATGATTAAAAAAGAAAGAAAGAAAGAAAGAAAGAAAGAAAGAAAGAAAAAAGAAAGAAAAGAAATGCCAAGTTCCACTTCCACTAACACTGGAAGACATCTGTTAAAAAAACACCACAGTGTCAGAGGATGCACTGATGAATGTCTTCAAAATATGGACAGTTTCTGAAAGAGGATGCCTGTAGCTGCAGCTATTAAAAAAAAAAAAAATCCTGGCAGAGCATAATCTCAAAGGAGGGAGCATAACTAAAGGGAAAATCCCATAATTATTTTTTGGAAAAAGAGGATGGGAATAATAGCTTGGTCTCAAAAACTTCTCTGGACCCATCAGCACCCTAAAGACTGATGAGAATCTGAATGAAGAAACAAATAGGAATGTAATATATTAAGTGAAAGGAACCAGGTTCAAAACTCTATAGAGGTGGGATGCCTGGGTGCTAAGTTGGTTAAGCATATGCCTTCAGCTCAGATTATGATCCCAGTCTTGCATCTGGCTCCTTGCTCAGCAAGGACCCTGCCTCTCCCTCTGCCTGCTTCTCTCTCTTTCTCTCTCTCTTTAACAAATAAATAAAATCTTAAAAAAAAAAAAAGTCTATAGATGATATGATTCCATTGCTATGACATTTTGGAAAAGGCAAAACAACAGAGACAGAAAACAGAACAATGGATGCCGGAGGCAAGGGGTGGAAAAGGGATTGATTACAGATTTTTAGACAAAAATCGCTACCTTCCTACAAACAACCACCAACCAAGAAGACAAAATGGAAAGAGAACAAAACAAAACAAATAAAGAACAAATACGCACTAGCAACAATGAAAAAGGATAAGAAATCTGGGAATGAAATTATTAAGAAATATACAAAGATTATACAAATAAATTTTAAAACACCAATGAGAGAAATAAAGACTTCAATAAATGGAAAGGCATGTAATATTATTAGATAGAAAGAAAAAAAAAAAGAAAAAAATAATGTTCCAAAGAACTTACTTCTGCCTGAATTAATTTATAAATTTCCTGTGATGAATAAAAATGACAAATACTTTTCTTTAAAAATAATACTAGGTAACTCTAAAGATTACATTAAAAATGTGTGACTAGGGAGTCAAGATGGTGGAGGAGTAGCAGACTGAGATGACATCAGGTTGCAGGATGTCTAGCAGGATGCTAGATAGTTATCAAACCACTCTGAACACCTACAAACCCAACAGGAGATTGAAGAGAAGAAGAGCAGCAATTCTAGAAACAGAAAATCAACCACTTCCTAAAAGGTAGGACGTGCAGAGAAGTGAAGCCAAAGTTAGGGGAAGATAGACTACAGGTAGGAGGGACCAGTAAAGTCAGAACTTTTAGAAGTCTGCTGCCCTGAGGGACATCGCTCCAGAGACTAAGCAGAGGTGGAGCCCTCACTGGGACAGTGTAGTCTCAGGTCTCACAGGGTCACAGAAGGATCGGGGGTGTCTGAGTGTAGCAGAGCTCACAGGTATCAGAGTGGGGAAGCCGACTACAGAGATGGAGCTAAGGAATGAGCTCTTAGCTTGGGGTTATCTTAAACTGTAATCTGTGGCACAGTCAGACCACTGCTCTTTGAGCAGGGACCTTACAAGTGGCAAATCTGGGGAGATTCACCTTCATCTGCCGGAAAAGCAGAGCAGCAGGAATCTGCTGGGTTTGGAGACTCCAAACAGGGCTGTGTGCCAGAGACAGAAGTGCTCAGTCACAGGCCAGGTGAGCTAGGAGCACAACCGGAGACCAGGGAGACAGGAGT